TCTTCAGCGTCCCGCACTCAGAGTCGAGTGCCACCGCCTTGGCTTTGGCCTTCTCCTTCTCACGGTCCGTCTGGTTCACGGGGGCCGGCGCGCCGCGGCCGGCGCCGATCTTGGACGGCTCCTTGAGCCGTGACACCGAGATGGTGCCCTGCTTGGTGCTCAGCAGGCTGGGATCGATGCTGCTGCTGACTGGCCGGTTTGCACCGCGGCCACCAGTCACACTCATGGAGCTGGACTTGGCCGGCCGGGGCAGGCTGCGGTACTGGATGTTGGAACGAGCCCCTGGAGCCAGGAAGCCGGGCTCGGCTGCGTTGGAGACGTCCAGGCTTGTTTTCCTCCCACTGACTGGCTCGACGGGGATGCCAGAGCTCTTCTGGATCTTGCCGAGCGTGGCCGAACCCCCAGCCTGCATTGCATGACAGGCCGTGCCAGTGGCAGGAGCTGGTTTCTTATAGCCAAAGGAGCTGGAGGCCGAGGGGCGCGTGAGACCCGAGGGTGGCTTCTTGGCATCAGCAATGCGGTCACGACCGGCATCGGAGGAGGAGCGCTGCAGGCCTGTGCTCTTCACAGACAGCTTGCTCTTGTCGGTGGCTTTGGTCTCTGGCTTGCCTGGTGGGCAAGGAAGGATGGGTTAGTGTCCCAGGAGGCTTTGGGAACATTTGGGTGTAAACTAGCCCAGACAGGACAGTGGCATTGGAGGTGCAGGGATGTGATGGAGAAAGGACGTGCTACCATCCTGGGAGTTGGGGCAGAGCCACAGCCAGGCCCCCTGTGCACCCAGCTAGCCGCCAGCCTGGCACGTGGCCACGAGGCCATGGGGCAGGCACAGCCTTGGGCAAGCAGGGTTTAGCGTGGGGGCCAGACCCACAACCTGCCTCCAGGGATGCACAGCCCCGCCACCCCCTCCAGCCCATGTCCAGCTGCCAGGTCTGAGCACAGCCACAGGGTGTCCCCGCGGCCAACATGCTCGGGGAAGGCCCATGAAGATGCCACCCAACCCTCTCCCCATCAGAGGAGCTGGACCCTGCTCAAATTGGGTCTCACCTGCCACTTTGAGGGTGCTCTGGGCTGTGTGGGTGATGGGGGAGGTCACGGCCACCGGAGGGGTCTTGCCCTTCTTGAGAGAGCCCGGGGTGCCCAGGCTGACAGGCTTCTTCAGCTCCCCGCCCTTGGGCCCCTCCTCGCTGCCCTCCGAGGGCTCCCGCCGCCACTTGGAGGAGCCGTGCTCCATCTTGAGGCTGCTGCTGTCGTAGTCCAGCTTCTTGGGTGCCTTGTCCTCACCCTCACAGTACCAGCTCAGCCCACTCTCTGCCAGCGAGCCCTTCTCTGAGTCTGTGCGCAGCTGTGGGCAGAGTGGAGTCAGGGGCGCTCCGGGCACCCACCCCAAACCCATTCCCAGGGAGCACCAGCCAGCTGGGAGAGGGATGCACCAGACACCCTGTGCCATGCCTCAGTTTCCCTACGCCGGCACCCTCCATCCCCTCTTTCCCGTAGAGGCGGCGGCACCAAGCCAGGACTGATGTCAGGAAGGGTCCAGGTGCCGCAGGCACCTACCGCTATGGCTGAGTTCCTGCGTGAGGCGGTGGGGGTGGAGGGCAGGGAGTTGAGCGAGGAGCTGGCGTTAAACTCCTCCGAGCTGAGGTTGTCAGAGGCATCGCTGAGGCCGCTGCTGATGGAGCTGCTCTCATCCCAGCTGCAAGGGCAGAGACAGCGTCAGACCCCCCTGCCCAGCCCCAGCTCTGCCTGGTGGGTCCTGCCACCCATGGGATTTCCCCGCTCTGGGGGCTGCCAGGGTGCAAACCTCAGCTCCCAGTAGCGCCCGCTGCAGGGCCGCGGCAGGAGCTGGCACTCGGCGGCTGCAGGCGGGTCCACGCCCAGCTG